GGACCGAGCCCTGGGGGGCCCCACTGCCCACATCCCTCCAGGTCAAAAATGACCCATCCACCACCACTCTCTGGGTGCGACCCTCCAGCCAGTTAGTGACCCAATTGACTGTGTGGGTGTCGACACCACAGTCCCTCAGTTTTTTTAATGAGAATGGGGTGAGAGACAGTGTCGAAGGTCTTCTAAAAGTCCAGAAAGACTATGTCCACTGCTACCCCTGTGTCTAAGGATTTGGTGACCTGGTCATTGTGTATGTGTGAATCTGTCTCACGGGTGAGTATGTGCATTGGTGTCTCCGTGTGTGTGAATCTGTCTTGCAGTGTCACCAAGTATGTACCTGTTGGTCTTGTGGTGCCTTCTGCATGTACATTTACATGGCCGTCAGGCTTTCTCCTGCTGCATGTCTCTCTGAGTATTTGCCATCCTTTCTGAGTCTGAAACACCCATGAAAAGACCATCGCCTTTTAGGGAGCACCTGGGAAGGGAAGACCAAAGATCATCCTCATGGCCTGTCTCTGCACCACTGCTGTCACATGTCTTCCCCGCTTGCCACCAGGCCTTGAGGTTTCCAGGGCTCCACTGCTGATATTGTTTCTTCTTCCTTCTTCTCTTCCCAGGTTTCCCCCAGCCAGAGCCCCCTTCCTGGTCAGGTAGATGGCTGGCTTGGCCTTGCCAGGAGGAGGCTGACCCAGGACTTGATGGGGCCATGGATGGGGAGTAAGTCAAAGAAGAGGTGCTGGGAGTCGTGCAGCCAGGACCTCAACCTGAGCCTCTGGTGGAGGTGGTGGAGGAGTCTGTGGCCTGGCATGCTCCAGGTACATGTGCTCCAGGGCCTTCCTCTGCTCACAGAAGTGGCAGGTGCTGGGGGTGTCCGTGAAGCATGCTACATGGCTCTAGCGTGGTGATGGCTCTATGGGGGAGCTGCCAGCTGAGATCCCCAGTGGCTCGCAGGATCAGGGTGGAGTATAAGCTTGTCCACTGGAGACCCTGGTCTTTGTCAAGGCTGTCCTGCTACTTGGTGTCTGGGTGGGGTGCGAAGACAGGACCATGGATAGTGCAGACCATGAATATTGTAGAGCTGGTGATGGGCTGTCCAGAAGCAGATCAGCTTGGTATCCTCCAGCTAGAGATAGTGTGGTGAGGAGTGCCGTGGGGCCTGCCAAGGCTGGGTTCCCCATAACAAGCTCCAGGGGGCTGGGTGATACCAGGGGTGTGGGGACCACCCTCATGCAGGACCTGGTCAAGGTAAGGGTGGCCTTATCTGGCAGGACAGCCTTGACCTCCTGGAGTAGGTGGTGGGGGGCATACAGTGTGAGCAGCTCCTCATGCCAGGCGAGTGCCAAGGGATCAGCCCACCACCGGCATAGTCCAGGAGGGCCATAATATAGGGGATATTGGCCATCATCATGACCATCTGCTGGTGCACCTAGGGCACATCCATCACCAGCATTGCATGATACAGGAGACTGGGCAAGATGGGCTATCAGCTGACCCAATGAATGGCAGATCCTATGCTCTTTATATGTTCTTATGACAAATCAGCTCATCTCCAGCAGTTGCAGAAGTGGATGCCAAAGAGGGAGAGCACTGAACCAGATGTATCTAGAGTGGGGCAAAGAAGCTGGACTAGGTGATTTGTGGAAGTCCCTTCCCACTCAGCTTCTCTATGATGTCTACTTCTCTGTTCAACATCCAACCTGGCATCCACCATTCATTGGGTTAGAGATATGAGAGGAAACATCCCACCATCCTCTTCAACAGCCATGAATACAGATAAGAACTGTCATTTACTGGATCAGATCAGAGGTCCATCTTGCCCAATCTCCTGTGTCACACCAGGGCAGACGATTTTTCCTCCATGAATTTATCCAGTCCTAGGAGCTGGTATCTGTCTCTACCTCTTCCTGTGGCAATAGGTTCCACATATTTATGATGCATTGCCTCAAAAAAAGGCCTTTCTCTGGCTAGTTTTACACTTGTCTCCAATGGGTCGCCCCTACTCTAGTTTTCTGAGACTTGGCAACCAATAGTTCCCTGTTCACTTGGTTCACACTCTTCATGACTTTATACCCCTCTATCCTATCCCCCCGTCAGCTTTCTCCTCTCTGGATGGAAGAATCCCAGCCTCCTGAGTCTCTCCTGGTAAGGAACATCCCATGTTTCCCCATTATAACAGAAAAAATGAATTTCCAGTCCCACGCTTTCAGTCTAAGCTTTGGGTAGGCGGGACTGATGCCTTTCTGTGAAGGGAGAAAGGAGTTTCAAGTTCCTGCCTGCCTGGATGGGCCTCAAACTAGGAGGGTGGGGAGACGCAAGGCCTGGCACAGAGCCCTGACTATCCCCAATAGCTAGTAGAGATGCCAACGGTGGGGCTGGAGCCAGCTCTGGGCAAACAGGGTGCTTAAACCCCATTAACCTGCTGCCTGCCAACTGATGGTGCCCCTTGCTTCCACCCCAGCAGCCCCAGCCATCCAGCTCCAGGACACCTGGGTTCTTTTTAGCAGGGTCTAAAGAAGGGGGAGGATTGGGAAGCAGGACACCTTAGGTCTTTATTCAGGTTTGGGAGCAGGTGGGCGGGGGGATGGGAGGGCTAGGAGCCAGGATGCCTGGGTTCTTTGCCAGCTCCAGGAGCAGCCCAATTCAGTTGGTTGTGGTAGGGAAAGCTGTGACCTGGGACCCAGGACACTTGGGTTCTTTGCCTGCTGCCTGGCATAGCTAGAGCCCCAAGCACCCACTCTGGGGGGGCAGCGAACCTGGGGTTTCCACAGCTGGGTGGGGACAGAGCAGGCCCAGCTGCACCGTTGGGGCCTGTGAAGTGCTCCCCTGAGGCTCTACCCCCCTTCCACCTCTCCCCTTGCATTCATGAGTCACCCCCGCGGCACAGTCCAGGCCTGCCCCAGTGCTCTCCTTGCCTGTGCTTCCAGGAGCCTCCAGCCTGCCCTGGCATGCCTGCATAGGCAGTTAGAGGTAAACCCTGTTTGGGTCCCTGTGGCCCATCCCCCCACGCTGAGTAGGGCCTGGATCATGGCCACATTCCCTGGAGAGGAAACCTTCCATTGATCATTGTCACTTTGGATCTCGTGGCTTTCCGGGCCCCATACAGTGTGGAACGTGAATCAGAGCTGCCCTGGTGGCAGCCGGGATATCCTGCCTTTGTATTGGGTGTGATTCATCCCAGCTCCCCCACACTCTCTTTCTAGGCCCTTGGCACACATTACATATATTGCACATCTTACTGGTCAATCATGAAATAAATTTGGACTGGCCACAAATATGAAGTAATTACCTCCTATATTCTGAGACCTAAGGAAGACTGTCTTACATATGAAAGCTTATCTAACTTGATACCAGCTCCCTAGTTGGTCCAATAAAAGAGATCACCCTAAGAAATCCTAGCCTCTCACATAGTTATCACATGGTTAACTGGTCAGTTGTGCAATCAATGTAGTAAAGGGCCAGCTATGAAAAGGGCCAAGCAGCTATACAGTTAGTGCTTGAAAATGCATAACAACTGTATAGCTGGTTTCTATCCAGGTTTAATCTGAACGTGTAGCAAGGCTCACACATGTGTGCATACACACACACACACACACACACACACACACACACACACACACACACACACACACACACACACAC